AGGCCACAGAGAAGTCACGGAGGCCAGACGAGTCAGCTCACCGGGTTCTGGGAGGCTGGGTCTCTCTCGAGCCGTCTCCAGGTCAGGCAGCCTCGACATCACCCCCAAGCTGGAAAGGGGAAGGAACTTTGATGCCAAGACTGCACACCTGATTCTGGTTCTTACCTGACTCGTGGGATCTTGGGCAACGCCCTCCCCCTGCCGGCCTGTAAACCCGATGAAATGGTGGTTACGGCCCTTTCTAAGCCACCTTCTAGGACTCTGCTCTTTCCACCGCCATCAGACGTCCTTTGCCAAGGTCAGTCTGCAGACAATTCGGGGGGCTGCAGCCTGAAATTCCTTGCCCTTGCTCCGCAGAGGCCCCAGGGATGTCAGCTTTCAATCTCTCCGCTCCTTTCCCTTCCAGTCAACAGACCCTTGTGTGTGGAACGCTCTGCCCTTAGGAGCATTTCCTGAGGGAGTGCGGGGGCTGGAAGCACCTGAACACGCCGGCTGTTGGGTTTCGTCGGGGCTTTGGATAAAAGCCGTCTTGTTCTTCTATCAGATCAGCCCCCAGCCCCGGCCGCCCCCCAGGAGCGGTGTTCTGCGGAGACTGAGACTACGGATGGCCCGGACTCCCCAGTCCCCACACCGGCAGCCCCCAGGCCTCTGTCCGCAGCAGCTGTGTGCAGGGCTGCTGGAGCGCAGGGCCAGGACGTTACTCTGCAGCCAGGAGACTCTGGATGAAACTGCCGGCCATCCCCGAGGAAGGCTGCTCCTTCCCGAGGTTCCGGAAAAAGCACAGTGAGGCCTGAGTCCAGGGTGGAGCACTGCACAAAGCTTTCCCTCCGGGCACTTGGCCTTTCTCTTACCAACCAGGCTGTCCACACACGGGGCCTCTTCGCCTCCGGCTCCCAGCCAGGCCATCAGCGCTGAAGCGGCTGCCGCCACCGTGGGGACACCTGGGGCGCATCCCACCTTGGTACAGGCTACCCAACAATTCGTTCTTGTCTCCACTCTGCTCCTCCTGCGCTGTGCAGCCTCGAAAGGCATGGGGACCCCCTGCTGTGCTTCCTTTGCTAGCCTTGTGGCCCTGGGCGAGTTACTGTTCCTTCATCCGCAAAATAGGGGTTAGTGGCACCTGCCTCGCAGGATGAAGGTTAAATTTAACTACATGTACACAATATCTGGCACATAAGATGCACTGTTTGCTATTATTATTATTTTTAAGTAGGTTCCCTACCCAGTGCAGGGCTCAAACTCACGAACCTGAGATCAAGACCTGAGCGGAGATCGAGTCTGACGCTCACAGACGGAGTCGCCACTCAGGTGCCCCTTCTTAGGATTGTTTTACATGTTGGCAGTCATAAGAAATAGGGAAGTGGTCCAGCCTAGAGTAAGTAGACCTAATTTTTTTTTTTTTAATACTTACCCTCTTTCTGCATAGGGTACAGAGGTCCTTTCTTCAGTGTGACTCCCTAATCGCCCCAACCCGTTTGTCCTTTCCCTGTTCTATTCCCAGCAGCGCCCACAAACATGGACTGAAAAGGAAAGGCACGAACGAAGGCCTCTAGTGACCGGCCACTCTTGCAGTTGGCTGAAGGAGACTTACAACACTGGATTCAATCAAAAGGGTTATTTTGAAAACTTTGCAGGAACTTTTGGTAAATGGTTTGACAGTTTTACTCTAATGGTGGTAACATAAGGTTGCCAAGTATTAACTTTTATGGCCCTGTCGCACAATTTTGAGACATGGCATTCTGATTTAGTTTAAGACTGGAACTTACTCTAACCTTTGTTGGTATGTAATATTTTATTTATTTATTTATTTCTTTGACAGACAGATCACAAGTAGACAGGCAGGCAGAGAGAGAGAGAGAGAGAGAGAGAGAAGGAAGCAGGCTCCCTGCTGAGCAGAGAGCCCGATGCGGGACTCGATCCCAGGACCCTGAGATCATGACCCGAGCTGAAGGCAGCGGCTTAACCCACTGAGCCACCCAGGCGCCCCGTTGGTATGTAATATTTAATAGCACACCCCATATTGGTGTTAAAAACAGGTCCAGGGACTCAGTTGCTCAAGCGTTCGACTCCTGGTTTCAGCTCAAGTCATGATCTCGGGTCATGGGATTGAGCCCCAGGTTGGGCTCCATGCTCAGTGGAGGTCCCCTTCTCTCCCTCTGCAACCCCCTCCATCCCCGCTCATGCACCCTCTCCCCGCCAAATAAATAAAATCTTTTAAAAAAATGGGTCCAGAGAGGTTAAAACTATGCCAACTATAACTCAGATGTGCTCATTCTGGCACTGTTGATGAATTAAGAAATTAAAAAAATCAACTGGCTTTTGAAAAGGTAGTGCTCAGTCAAAATTGGGCCAGATCGTTCCTAACCCCCAGGCTCTTTAATAGTTACCACCACCATTTCCCACCAGACATCCGATGTGAGGGAGAATGAACGGCCTGAGGCTCGTGAAATGGTAGCAGCGTGGTGACTCCTGCCACAATTTGGAAATTAAATGATCTGTGGGGATCATTCTGATTAGAACATGGATATAAAGCCATCCCCTGATCACTCTGGACATCAGCGGTACTCAGAAAGTACTGCACACAATGTGACTTTCATGACCACATAAGGGAATCTTCCTTGTAATTATGCTCATGGGCTTCTCCCACCGAGCACCGAGGCTACGGTCGCTGAGGGAATCTGGTGTTACCCAAAAGCAAGCCCTAAACTGAGAGTTCAAGAGATTTAGTGTTTTTGGTTTTTTTTTTTTAAGGTTTTCTTTCTTTATTTGACAGAGAAAGCGCACAAGTAGGGGGAGCAGCAGGCTACCCGCTGAGCAGGGAGCCGGACATGGGGCTCGAACCCTGGGATCATGACCCAAGCCAAAGGCAGATGCTTAACCGACTAAGCACCCAGGTGCCTGGAGATTTAGCGGTTTTATTTATTTATATATTTTTAAAGATTTTATTTATTTTAGAGAGAGCGAAAGCGATCACAGAGAGGCAGAGGGAGAGGCCGACTCGCTGTGGAGCGGCCTGCCCGCGACGCGTGGCTCGATCCCAAGACCGCGAGCTCATGACCCATGCGGAAGGTAGACGCTCAACCGAATGAGCCACCCAGGTGCCCTGAGATTTAGCGGTTTTAAAATCTCCTGTAAAGCTGCCCAGGTTGGTAAGTCTGAATGTTACATATTACATATATACATAAAGTAAACATCAAGTAACACCACAAGCATTTAAAAAAAGGAAGTTTATTGGTCTTTAAATGGCTCAATTTTGCAAATAAACCAATCGGGTAGTGGCATCAGCCTAAGACATGTGATGCATCTTTGTCAGTTGGCTTCATAGCACCTCAGTACCCAGGAGAGGAAAGGTCTAAAGCAAAGTCACAATGTTAGTGGTTAGGACCCCTGGTTAGATGAGACTGCAGTGAGTACACACGGAGATCGCTGGGCCCGCGGGGCGGCTGTCACACGGGTAACTTTAATTCTGCACATGGCATAGCCTATGAAAAATACGAAATGAAAGATGTACATCTCCAACCCTTTAAGGACAAATATTTAACAGGACAAGCCAGATGGAGTATCTAAAGAGCTGAGTTCCTAAAAAGCCTATTTTTGTTAACTTTACGTACACACCTGTTACCTGGAATGCCTGAACACATCTTGGACTTGTTGAAATTAGGACTGAGCCAAAAGAAAGACGAACTTTGTTGAATCAACTCTCTTAGACCCATTCCGAAGAAGAAAAGAAAACTCTGGACAGCAGTGTATTTCCTGTTGAAATTATGTTCCCAGATAGCATGCTAGATTTCTTCCAGGGGACGCACCACACAACGGTGACACAAGCTCATGTCTGGCCTGCGTTTGCCACACACGCTTCCTGCACTACACTCGGGTTGGTGTTAACGTCAGGACAATGTGGCTCTGGTGTTCTTCGTGATGACTCCTGAAAACTCTCCCAGAGCCCAGCTGTCACCTCCTGAGCCTGGCTGGCCAGCACGCGCGCCTTCCCCAAGTGTTCCAGGGCAAAATGCACTAACGACGTTCTTCCCGTGCCCTGCTCCAGAGAGACCAACAACAACTTAACACATGCTCACCACTTGCAGCAAGGGATTTCCAGGGACCGGCATTTTAAAGAAAAAGAGGGATCACTGAAACGTGACTGCGCTGAATCCTCACGGCCTCAAGGTATCTTACAAGCATATGCTGGCCCTTTTTTGCAAACTACCTTACAGTTAGTCCAAAGTAATCGAGGTGCTCTGGAACCTTACTTTCAAGAACCAGAGTATGGCACACATTGTAAATTTGGACAGATCCTAGCAGACGGTTATTTTTTTACGAATCTTCTATACAAAAGTTGTACTCCACACCAGGCAAATTTTCTCTCACCAGGACACGTGGGGCGATGGGCCCACGGCACCAGTGAGGACACACCCAGGATGATGTCACCGGGTATTTTTCGGTTTCTAAATTAAGGCATATTCAAAAATTTCCATGTACAAGTTTACACCACTTTTCCACGTTAATCACCAGGTAATTAATGCAGGTTCACAGATGAATCACTCTCAATTGAACTATATGCAACAATCATGCCAACAACTTTTCTTCTATATTTTGCATAACAATGGTTTAAAAAAGTGGTACAGTTTAACTACCATGTTCACAATTGTCATTTTTCAAGGCAGTAGAAGACCAAGACATTTTAAAATGATATAAAATTTAAGCTTTATAATAAACCAGAGGAAGTAGCCTTTCCTCCCTTCCCCCCCACCCCATCTCAGCTCTATCAGTTCCAGAAAGACTGCCCTCGAAACACAAGCCCACACGCTACGTTCAGGACCGCAATAAATGTAGGCAATTATGAAAGAAGTTGAACTTTGCTTCTTGGTGAAGCCACATTAATTTCTTTTTTTTTTTTTTTTTAAGTGAATTTGACTTTCAGTGCAGTTCCAATTCATGCTTTTAGTGATACATAACAATTTCCAAATTGTTAAAGTAATTTCAGTCAATTGAGCCTTCGATGGCAATGCTTATAAATTATATTTATTAGTATGGTCAAGATAAGAAAGGAGTTTGGGCTTTGATTATAAAATGCAGCATCTTTCTCTGATTCTCTTGGCTAAACTTTTCCTCTTCTTTTTTCCATTCTTTTCTTTGCTGTCTTCCATCTTTCTGGCTCGAATTTCCCTCATCAGATCAAAAAATACCTGGAAAGAAGAAAAGAGGGTACATAAAGCCAACAGATAACATGAGCTTGGTACTTCTTGGAACCACAGCAGTAAGCCCTGGGAATGAACTAAGAGTAACTACTTAAGTGCTCTTGTTTAGGGAGTACAGGGAGAAGATAGCATAAAACCAAAGTCTCCTTCTCCAGGTATACTGAGAAAGCTGGGACATTTTCTGAGTTACACTTTTCGGTACAATTGTTCACATAATATAACCTAATCTTCTCATCCCAATTTTTAAGATAAAGAAGATAATAACCTATAGATGACGACAGCTCCAAAGATAAAGATGATAATAGCACTATAGATGACGTGGATTCTGTTTATACAATAATGAATGTATTTCACCAATTCATATTTAAAGGTAATTTATGTTTAATACAATTTATATTTAATAACTTGTTTTCAGCTCTGTTTTGAGAAACAAAGCTGAAGAAAATGAGTGCTTCCTTTATCATTCTGATACCAGGTACTAAGAAAACAATTTTCTTTGTGGCAACATACTTGAGATTTTATCAATTCTGTCTCCTATCCAGAAACTGGCAAATGAGAGCTATTAGCACAATAACTAAAAAATTAGTAGAACAACTCAAAAGTTAAATATTGCTGACAAATGCCGGAGGGCAGACAGACAAGGGTCTAAAAGGACACGGGCTCACATCGTACGTAAGTAGTTTCAAGTATGCGTATGATGACTAGATGAAAAAATTTCAGGGTCTACACTCTAAAATTCTGAATTAAAAACAGTTATTACTTTGGTTTTGTTTATTTTTCTCATAAGCATGAAATAAGAAGTGACACCACACTGACATATTAAGAACTCAGCTGAATATAAAGATTTCAAAACTTCTAGTTGGCCTGTGCATTGCGAAGGTGCAAAGTAAACAAATGTATGTTACGCAGTGGCCGGCGCGCCTCTAGCTCTCTGAAGGAAAGGCTAACTGGAAAGGCGAGGTGCTGTAACGCTCAGGCAGAGGGCTACCTGCAGGAGTTATGTGGGTTTGCCTGCATTTGAAACAGAAACAATGAAAGAATAAACCAAACACTGCTATTATTTTCAGGACGAAGGGAACAGGGGGCACAGAACAGTGAGGCATCTGTGAATATAGTCATGGTACAACTTCTACTTTGGAACGGTAAATGTTTTTCATATTAAAAAATGGAATTAAACACAAAAAAGCAGCTGCCGAAAACTGAAAATCAAACTAAAACACTTTAAGGTGAGCTACACAGAGAGTTGGTGACGTAATCATACAGAGGAGAGAATTCAAGAGACTTTAAAACACGGCATAGAGAATATACATCTCAGAACAGCAGCTAAGAATAAACATTTAAAAAACCTCAACAAATAAAAAAACAAGACAGCTCTTGAACTTCACTTTGTAACTGAGCTGTTCACAGCAACGGCGGCATTGCTGACTTGGAACAATCTTGTACAACGGGTTGCAGGACACTGCAAGAGAGCAATCACGCTAATGATTAGTGTGATAAGGTAAGGAACCAAGGAACCAAGGCTCCAAGACTTCCAGTGTAAGAGAGAAGATACGAACATAAAGTCAAAGAAGCAGAAAGTCCTGAATGCTAAAACTGAATTAGAAGTAACAGTATGCTCTCGTGATTTGTTTTCTTTACTCCGTATTTCCCGGCACTTCAAGGAAGGCCACGAAGCAACGACAAGGCAACAGCGGTGAGCACATTCGTCCTCAGGCTATGGCTGCTAAATACCATTGCGCCCAGGGGAACGTGTTCCTTAGATAAATGGCTGATCCCCGATCTGGAGTAAGAAACAGAATGTGACTCAGAAAGCAAGGAAGCTATTAAAAAAAAAAGGCAAGGAAGTGATTAGAGACTAATGGCTTACGTCAAATGGACACAGGACCAACACACAAAGGGGTGCAAGTGGTTAGAACAGGGAAAAACCGAGCAGAGAAAACCCACAGAGAATTCAGGAGACTGAAAGAGGTGACACAGACGCCAGAGGTCTTTGCCCCCACTTGATGCACCTCGGCTTCCCTGGGGTGATTTCGGAACACCTGCCCTTCGAGTCTACAGCTGGCCCGCCGAGACAGGAAGCTTCCAAACTAGCTGCAAGTAACATCAGAGGACACCCCTGCAGCCTTCTGATGCAGATATATCACTATGGAATGCACTCCAGAAGGTGGTTTAATTTTTTTTTTTAAGTAAGTTCTATGCCTGGCACTTGATCTTACGACCCTGAAATCAAGACCTGAGTGAAAGTCAAGAGGTGGACGCTCAACCAATTGTGCCACCCAGGTGCCCCGTTATAAAATTCAGAAAGCAAACTACAGAAATGCATGATCTACACACACAGAAATACCACACATGTGTGGGTGTGTGTGTGTGTACACACATATATACATACATTATGTATACACTGTATATATATACTATATGTACATTATGTATGTATATACACATAAATATACTATATATGCACTGTAAAAATCCTACGTATACAGGGGAAACACAAACACAAGTCTTCCCTTAGATTCTATAGACTGGTCTTTAAATGTGGATAAACATCTGGAAAGACGTCCAAGTTAGCAGTGGTTACCTCACAGGAAGGAGAGTGAAGTGGAATCTGGGTGAGGAGTGACTCCCTTTTTCTCCTTACAACAAATTTTTCTTTATACAATAAGCATATGTCCATGTTTTTAATGAAAAAAAAATTAAAAACACAGTACATTTGTACTAAAATTCTCTCCCAAACATAGACTTGGCTCTCTTCATGTAATAAATCATCCTCTCCATTTTGACATCTACTTGCTCAACCTCTTCCCATTCCTTCAAGATGTTCCTTAAAAATTAGGAGCAACCTTGGAGTTACGCTTCAAGAGTGAAAGCGTTCAGCCAGAAGGCCGCTAACGAGGTCATGAGGACGAACCAGCACCCAGCGAGTCCGTGAGCAGGACTGCCAGGTGTCTTCTGTGACAGGCGTGGCCTCTGTGACGGGCAAGGCCCCTGCTCGACCACTCAGATGGTCATGAAGCTTTTCACAGAGTGGATTCAAAATCTGCCTCTTCGAAACTTCTTTGCAATGGTCTGTGTGGAAGCCAGAGGAGGGCACGGCATGAGCCCTTACTGTCTTGTAGGGGAGCTAGGATTTGTTTCCTGTGACAAAACAAGATACTTCCCAATATAATAGAAGGAGACAGTGTTAACACGCACGACCCCAGGAAACCTGTATGTGGCTCCACAGAGGGTGACATACATCTGGGGGATACCTCAGGGGCTCCAACCATCGTGTGGAGTAGAAGAGCGAGATGACGTGGGCTCCAGAGCCGGCCACACCCAGGGCGAGCAGCTGCCATCACAGGCCTTCCGAACTCGACTCAGGTATGTAATCTCTCCACATCTCAGTTTCCTCATCTCAAAAGTGAGCATGAAAAGAGTGCTTCTGCTTTACTGGGTTAAAGATGCATGGCTAGTGCTGGCCACAGTGCCTGCGTCTTATAAACACAACTATGAGCTCTTTTAACTACTAACATTATTTCCTCAGCAAGAAACCAAGTATCACCTAATTCTAGAAACTGAGTAAGTTGCAGCAAGTTACTTCTACGTAGCCACTGAGGTGTTTTATGCGGCACGGCACGCACACCGCTCGGTGTAGCAGCACACGCAGCGAGAGCAGTTAGACAGAACTTCTACCCTGGTGTACAAGCCGCCACATTTCATCTCGTTTTGCTTTGGAGAGGTGACCGTTGACTACAGACCACATGTTCCCACACCGGCCACAGCAATACTCCCCGCTTTCTTCGGGCATCTTGCCACTCTCCATCAAGAGGTGGAGTCGATTTCCCTCCCTTCTGACCTGGGCTGGGACTCTGGGACTACTCTGGCCAAGAGAACGGAGTCGAAATTAAGTCTGTGTAACTTCCGTGGCCAGGCCAGAGAAGGTGATGTGGTTTCTGCCTGGTTCTTCCTCTCTTGTGACACTGGCCCTTGGCACTTACCCTGCCTCCCTGCCGGAAGAAAGCCTGAAGTAGGACACCTGGAAGAGGTCACATGGTGAGGAACCGAGGCGTCCCTGGACAACAGCCAGCATGGACTGGCTGAATCAGACATGTGCGAATGCTGTTTAGAACCTAAGCCGAGCCGCTTCCCGTTTCCGGACCTCAAGCTTTTCAGCGCAGAGGCACCATCTCCCCTGTGAGCTGTCCAGATTCTTGGCCCAGAGATTAAAGGAGCACAAGAAATGGTTGTTTTCACCCGTAAATTTTGGGGGTACAGTCTGTGTTACACAGCCAGAGTAAGCCCTATCCCTTGACCTTTCTTTCTTTGACAATACAAGCATATGGCAAAAAAATTCACGCCAGCAGATGACAGCACAGGGATTATTAGAATGACAGCTCTGTGGCTTGGATGGTTACTGGTCACCTCCTCTCCCAGGTTTAGATAGGTTTTAGAGTGTGCTCTATAGCCTGCTCAAGACATCAATTAGGAGGAACCCCAAAACACACATAATGATAATATCCAATGTTGCCTCTCAAAACTCCAAACACATTGAACTTTAAGACATATTTTCATTACCAGTTTAAATACATTTGCTGTAGCTTTAGAGAAAACTGGTATACGAAGTAGAAATCTTGTAACACTCATTTTGTACAGGTATCTTGGGCCTATGGGAATCTGACCAACGTGGCCAAAAAAACCCAATTGGCTTAAGACAGTATAATGACATTGTCATCAGGCCCACAGAAACTGAACAGAACGAATCCCTAATTTTTTTTTTTAACTTAATGATTTCTGGATCGGTGTTATAAATCTACAGGCACAAGCAGACCAGTTCACTAAAACTTGAGGCCACCTAGAAGCGGTGTTACTTGAAGTATGGTCCCCTGGGCCACAGTCTGCACTGCAGGGGAGCTTAGTGGAAATGCAAATTCTCAGGTTCAACCCACAGCAAAGGAATCAAAATCTCTGGGGGTCAGACCCAGGAATCTGTGTTCATGAAGTTTCACAGACGATTCTGCCCATTAGAGTGCAAGAGGCACTCGGCAGAGCCTCGATGCTTGGCGTCGGGCAAAGGCCCCACATGGGGGCTCAGGGAGCCCATGCCTTGGCCCAGCGGACGGCCCCCCGAACACTGAAGATGTGGGTCTCCGGCAGCAGGATGAAATAATGCACCTGGGCCGGCCCCTAGAAAGTACCCTGGACTCAGGGAAGGGCCACCTGAACAAAGGAGGAAGATACAGAAGAGGGCAGAGAGGAGAAAAGGGGTTGAGGGTGGGGAGCGCAGGTGCAGTAAAAGACTTCAAAGTCCTCTGGCCTGCGGCTCCTTTGTCTTGGGAGCGAACCTACGTGGGGCCGGGCGGGTGTCAGCTCAGAGGACTTACGCCATGCCGTCTACACTGCCCAGCCCATCATGATAAGAAAAAAGAAAAATTTAAAAAGGGCAGGGATTCAGGTTAGAAATCCCATCAGCGCTAGAAAAAAAGTGGTGTCTCGTCTTTCAGTGTCTCTTGGGAACCCGAGGACAAGGTGAAGTAAGAAATTCTAACGGGCCGGGCTCGAGCACTCAGGATGAGAACCCGCACAGGCTGCTACATCACTGTCTGCAAGTGTCACAAATCTCCAGACACAATGGAGCGGAGTTAGAGTGGATCGACTTGTCAACACGGCGCAGCCATAAGCAGGGCCGCCCTTTACCTTGTCGACATTAGCTCGAGTTTTAGCAGATGTTTCCACATAGTTGACATTCCACTGGTCGGCTCTGGTTTTTGCCTCTTCTACGGAAACCTGCCTTTTATCTTCTAAATCTGATTTGTTACCGACCAGCAGAAATGGAACGTTCTCATCTTCTTTTACTCTTAAAATCTGCTCCCTGGATAAGAGGAAATGAGAAAGAAATATTAATATTAGCCCCGTGTCTGACCAACAAAACAACAACCAGCTGCAATGAGCCTTTATTCACAGGATTCTTTACAGTAACCATGAGCTCATTCATTGCATGATGGGAAATGAGCATCATATCCTCCTTATTTTATCATTAATCACTTGCATTACATACTCCCTTCTTGGATGAAGGAAAGATACACCAGAGAAGGGAGTATAAAATGGCAGTGGAGGTACAAAATGGAAGTGTCAGAAGCAACTTCCTCCTTTTCCTGCTTTTTTTAAAAATAAACTTTTACGAGAAGGGTGGTTTTAGATGTGCAGAGAAGTTGTGAAGACAGTACAGAGTTCCCGTACTCTCTACACCCAGTGTCCCCTACTGGTAACATCTTAAGCTGGTGTGTGCATTTATCACAACTAATAAGCCAATCTTGATCCGTCTTTATTAACTGAAGTCCAAATTTTATTCAGATGTTCTTCGTTTTTACCTAATGTCCTTTTCCTGTCCCAGGATTCTGTCCAGGATCCCACGCGACATTTAGTCATCAACTCTCCTTAGAGTGGCTCAAACAGTTCCCAGGCTTGCCTTGTTTTTGATGACCCTGACAGTTCTGAGGCTTGCTGGTCAGCTCATCTATAGAAAATCTCTCAACAGGGATTTGTCTGATGTTTTTCTCGTGTGATTAAACTGGGGTCATGGGATTTGGGGAGGAGGACCACGGAGGGAGAGAGTGCCATTCTTATTACCTCATATCAATGGTCCCACTAAATGTTTTTAAAAGCCCCGCCTAGGCCAGACATCTCTTGAGTATAGATTTTGTGTTCAGAGAGAAGTTATATGCCATCACCAATTTTATTTTTATTTTTTTTAGTTTTTTTTATTTATTTGACAGACAGAGATCACAAGCAGGCAGAGAGGCAGGCAGAGAGAGAGGAGGGGAAGCAGGCTCCCCGCTGAGCAGAGAGCCCGATGCGGGGCTCGATCCCAAGACCCTGGGATCATGACCTGAGCCCAAGGCAGAGACTTTAACCCACTGAGCCACCCAGGTGCCCCGCCATCACCAATTTTAAAGGTATGATGGCTCTCTGTTCCTCCTAATCACGTGCCTCTAAGCAATGAGTACTTCTCTGCCCCGGTCTCCTCGTGTATAAAATGAGGCTAACAACAGAACAGTTGCTCGGAGGATGAAACGTAAAGTGATTACAATTGGGTCTGACATACAGGAAATGTTCAACAAATGCAAGCTATTCTTAATGATTACTAGTACTCTACTGGAGAAAGAAGTTTTCTTCTAAAATCATCATTCTCTTGCTACCCTTCTGATGCCTCTCCTTTGAAACAAAGAGACACTGAAACTACAGGAACGATATTTTAGACTAAAAGAAAATGAGAAAATTAAAGGGGTGATTAGAATGGCAGGTCAGCTGAGGACAAAGACTTTGCAGGGATCTATCATGATGTTTGAGATGGAACGGGAATCTTTGCCAATCTTAATCTCAGATTTGTCTACCCTGTGCTTCCTCGGCAGTGTCGCCTGAATACCACTGCCACCACCACCACCACCACCACCACCACAGTGAGCCATTTACTGAGTGTTCCCCATGGGCCACGGGCTTTCAGTGCCACTAACTGCACACAATACGTTACGCACTGCAGAGAAAAAGCCGCTGCCACTTACAACTGTAGGCTGTCCTCCTACAGGACATGGCCCCGATTTTGAGAGATGATAAAATGCAAAAAATCTGTGTCTTCGAGTCTATGAAATTCGCTAGTATCTAGTGCATGTTGTTGATGCTCAGAGCTGCCTGGTGTGTGGTGAGCGCTGCGTGAGTACTAGACAGGGTTACTTTTAGTATTCCTTCATTCACCTGATTGTCGATGTCTTCAACACCCGAGCAGGCTCTGTGTATGCGGGCAGCTCTCTGGACCCTAATTCCTAGTTTCTAGCATGAACGGATTATGGACTACACAGTCACCTCCATCTTTCGGGGATCTGTACTTACCTTAACCACCCCACTGAGGAAAGAACGAGGTCACTGGGGCATAGTAACTTGGGGACACATGCTGAGCTGTACAGGACTGGAGGGCTGGATGTTTCCCACCGCACAAGCAACCTCTTGCAAGGAGCGAATCCACGCTCGCCATTACTACTGTCACATTTCTGATGTGCTTGTGAAGAGGATACTGGCTAGCCATCATCTTTTTCCCGTAACAACAAATGTGCTGGTACCTTCTTAGCCAGCTTCCTTTGTGATCTACAGTCTCAACTAAGATGTTCACAACAACAGACTTACCACCTGTCTCACTAACCGGTAGAGACCGACACTGGTTTTCAGGACTCTGGTACTTCTGGTCATATGTGTATATGTATATATAGTCATTAGTTTATTTCTTAATAAACACCTACTAAGGGACTCTGAGTCCCTCAGAAGACCAACAGAGAAAGTGCAGTGATAGCATTAATCAGTGCTATCAGAAACGTGGCCATGGAAAGCCTGGACTTAACTGGGTTCAGGGGTGAGAGGACAACATTCTTAAGTTAATTAATTGGTTTGAATGAGCTACTTTCCTGGATGTCAGAGAAAGGCAATGTTATGTCTACAATCTTCAGACACATTTTATTTTAAATAGAGTGTTAGAGGCTGTTACAGAATTTTGGAATAGCAAAGTACCTTCACAAACTGGTCCAATTTCTTCATTTTTGACATAAGAAAAGTGAGAATCAAAAAAAAAAAAAAAAAGAGAGAGAGAGAAAGAGAGTTTCCTAACACTTCTATCAAATGTTTACTGAGCAGGCCCTGTATGATACATGCCAGGAACCGTGCCAAATACGGGCACTAGGGATACTTGGAGAGGTGAGAAATGGGTCCTGCTCTCAAGAGTTTTCCACTCCTCAGGAAAAACACAGGCACATCAAGCTGACTCTGGAGAGCGTAGTAAGTGTGCCAGCGGCACTGTCGCAAGCACTTTACCACATACAAAACTCCTACCTTAGAGAAGCCAATAAAGTTAATTTTATAAATAAATCAGCATTTTATTTCTTTATTTATTTAGGAGTGAGAGGGAGTACAAGCAGGGGGAGCAGCAGGCAGAGGGAGAAGCAAGTTCCCGACGAGCAGGGAGCCCGATTGCAGGGCTCGATCCCAGGACCCTGGGATCATGGCCTGAGCAGAAGTCAGACACTTAACCAACTGAGCCACCCAGGCGCCCCATAAATTTGCATTTTAAAAGTTTCTCAATGACGTTTTTTTTGCAAAGAATGCTCTCTTAGATTCCTTTAAGTTCTTGAGACTTTCAAGTGTACATGAAAAGCAAGCTTTATATAGGCTCAGGTATACAGGCCCAGGTTGTTTTTGCTCAACCCCTGGAAAACTTTCCTCATCGGTGAAAATCCTTCTTATCCTTCAGGCTCAGCTATCTCATGAAGGCCTCTGGGCTTCTCTCCTCTCCTGGGTCCCTGCAATGATCACCGCCCACATCTCCTATTTTGTCACCACCTTGCTCTTGGTTTCACCCCCTTTTCAACTAGGCTGTATGAATCTCGAAAATAGAGGATATACTACATGTTTCTTTTGTGTCCCTCATACCAAGGCAAACTCATAACACAGAAATAAAAAAGATATAATTAAGGAATACTTTTGGGGATACCTGGGTGGCTCAGTGGGTTGAGTGTCTGTTGGTTTTGGCTCAGGTCATGACCCTGGGGTGGTGGGACTGAGCCCTGCATCTGGCTCCGCACTCAGTGCGGAGTCTGCTTGGGATCTCTCCCTCTCCCCGCTCACTCTCTCTCTCTAAAATAAATAAATAAATAAATAAATAAATAAATAAAATCTTTACCCCCCACCAAAGAATACTTTTGATTATGCATATAGGATATGAGACTACTCAAGAACTTATTTATGCCGTATATCTCTCAGAACTTCTCTCCCCTTCACCAGCCAGCCCCCTGCAAACCAAATGGCTGACAGATTTTGATTAAGTAAATAGTAAATAAGATATAAAAAATATATAACACAACCTCGTATGCCAATCTATAGTATTTTTATTTCTATTAAAAAAATCAAGTGTGTGCTGTCTGGCATCTGTGTCGTGAGAAGGATGGCGATGAGCCCGCTGAGCATTACACAGGCGCGGGACACCGGTGACCAACACTGAAAGATCTAAAATCTGGGGCAGAGCTCCATGATATGAGCCAATGTCAACTCTGATGGCAGCAACAATATTCTACTCCAGAGAGAAGTACTTCAGGAACAGGTACTGAGGCTGTCACAGTGTCACGCCCCAGTGCAGGCGGCACGGGGACAGCGGTAAGACAGCAGTAAGGTGTACGGGGTATCTGAGTGTCAGTACACCGGGGACGGAGTCATAGACTGCCATCAAAGAGGGAGAGAACACGATCACAGCAGAGTGAAAGACTGACAAAGAACCGCCTCTAGCTGTCCGCCTGTTTCGGGGGAAGACACTACTGTGCACAAAGTGCGAAGGCCTCAGTCCCCGCCATACCTGAAGTCGGCTGTGGCTGCAAAGGATTCCATTTCTGTAATAGAGAAGACACAGAGGAAACCCTCCCCGCTCCGAAAGTAGTTGTCTCTAATTGCAGCATAGTCCTCCTGCCCAGCTGTGTCCAAGATATCGATCTGCACTTCCTCCCCATCCAGCACTACCTTCTTCCGATAGCTGTCTGCTTTGGTAGGCTCATAGTCCTCCACAAACTAGAAAAGATGAGATACAGATTCATGTGAAGTTGCCAAAACCATACAGAGAGGTCCCATGCACTCTTCCTTCCATGTTCCTCAATGGTTAACACTACATTAATTCACATTTTCATTTTAGATAATTCGGTGGCTTCTACTTTTGCAAAAAGCAAGGGTTGAAGGAGTACGTCCAGACTGTTTACAGCTTGACAGCTAGGCCTTTTTCTTCCTGAAAACACCATACCTGCAAAAACGATTATATATCTGTTCAATCAAATACCTAAAAACTCCTTTCAGTGCGACTCTAGATGAAAATTTTCATGCCAGAATTGTGGAAATAACTTGAAAGTGAGTCAATATTGAGGTGAGCACTGAAAGCTGCTATGAGATCTCTTCTCTAAAATGAACCAAGTCAATAAAGTGGCTTATACTACTCAGTATAATGGCAAAGCACGGACTTTTGAGATCGTTCTCTAAATGTCTGCTTTATAAAATAATAAAATTAAACAACTTTACGTTCCCACATCTATCTTCAACTCTGTAATCTCACCTTGGTATTTTTGATAAGTGTATCACTGTCAGCAGGTGTCTATGTATACATACATACTTTTGCAGGGTTTTTTTTATTAGCTCCTATAAATATTTTCATTATCTGTTATTTTCTTGTTTATTTGCTCAATGTCTATATCCCCCTATGAGAATACAACCCTGAGAGCAGGGACCTAGACTATTCTACTCATCACTGTAGCTTCCAGAGCTTAGAACAGTGCCTGGTACACAGAAGATACTCAATACATAATTATTTAAAAAATGAACACAGTGTATTTGTAACTATAAATGCTACAGAACACTCCATATTTTCATGCTTATTTTTATAAGTATTCAGTATTTATGACGATTTAACAAATAGAAATATTCAGATATATCAGATACTACTGTGAATATTAATATTGTTGAATACTAAGTGAAAGCTTAACCATTTATCAAATGTCAGGTATGTGACTAGTCCTACCTTTGACCTCCTCCTTACTGTTAAGGGGCTGGATTTAGCTATTAGTTTGAAAGACTAGCTATTAAAATTAATAGTATAGAAAACAGATTGAACAGATAAATCAGCAAGTTCAAATTCTTTGTTATGGTCCCCGATAAGCAAGATAACGGCTGGATTTAAGCTGTTTGCGGGTGTGAAAGATGCTGATGAGCAGCATCTGGGGGGGTAAGGCAACTGGGGGGTAAGGACCTGCAGGGTCTGCTATAAGAGGGGACCAGGCTTCAGGCTCCATTTCTCAATGGAGATCACTCCTCTGGGGCAGGTTGAGAAACCTCTCCGAGGTTCTGTTTTCTCATCTGTAAAATGGGGATACTACCACACCATGCAGGATTGTTATGAGGATTAAGTAAGAAAGAGAAACATATAACCTTGCTGCTCTGGAAGGAAGAGTTGAGGATAAATGCTTCAGCTGGATTTTCAACTCTTAAATCATTTAAGCTTGATAAGAATCTTCTAGGGAAAGAATATACTGCTGTATGTGGGCTGAGACCTTAACTCTGGGGCAGTCAAGTCTGATATACATACAGGCAGACAAATCTGTAGCCTTCTCAGAATTATGTTTTAGGGATACAGCCTTTACCTAATGGTGAGTGTAGCGCCATGCCAAATACCACAACTAATTTTTCCACTATTATTAGAATTGTTTTATTAGTATTACTATTATTATCACAGGACACCTTATTACGTCAACTTTAAGTCTCAATTAGGTACTATATCTACCAGTTCCATTAATTCAAGATGGGAACCTCCATTAAACACTTAAAACGAAAAAGCCAAAGTTAGATTGCTTTAAAGGAGGTACTGCTTCCAGGTTTGATTTGTTTTTAAAGTATAATGTTTTTAAGGCTCTTGAGTTATTGACTTGTTAAATCAGGATGTGTATAAATGTTGCCTCTGAACTGAAAAATGGGAAAAAAAAAAAAAGTTTAGTAGCTTTCAAGGATTCAGGAATATATTTAAAATAGCACCAAAACGAAGCCATAGAAATCCTCTCTAAACCCAAAGTTTGCTATCCATTATAAAATGGGCACTCACCTCATCGTACATGAACTGTAGGGTCAGAGCAGACTTGCCCACACCACCACTGCCCACCATGATGACTTTGTGTAGGGCCAAAGAATTCTGACCCTTGGGCTTGTTTGCAGCCATCTTGTGTCACAGAGTTTGCAGCAAAGGAGTAAGAAGAATCTAGAAAGGATGAAAAAATAAGTAACGTTCAGTATATTCTTCTTCAGAATCGCAAGTGTAGGGAAGAGATATGGTGTCCCTGGGCTTCAAGATACTAGTTTTCATTTTCATGAAATCACTGTGGTGATTTGAAACAGATGGCAAATGAAGTATGCTTATTTAGAGGAAGAAGCACTTATCAGTGAACACCAGGACAATACAACAAGTATATGAGTCAAGGGCATTTCTCCTAGAACAGCTCGTTTTCAGTAATGAGCTGTGACCCACAATGAAAATTTCCCATTGCAACCACATGCTGACAATAATGGAGTACTGCAGGTATTAGAGCATAATCACAGACTATGAAAACACGCCAAACAATCACTTTGTTCTCATGTTAACCTTTACTGACAAGAATTAGAGAGATGTTTCTTCTAATTCTAGTAAGAAACAACTGACCCCCCTCCCACCCCACCTGCCAAAAAAAAAAAAAAAAAAAAAGGTTGCCGACTGAAAGGCTTACTCCCTGTCAGTTTATAAACGAAGGAATCTCATCCCAGTAACTTGGTAGCAGAATTACAGATAGACTCCGATACTGCGTATCACACCTCCCAAGGGACGCCATGGAGTAGACATAATTCACATAGCTGGATCCAGTGTGCCCCCACTTTCTCCAGAACATGCATTTGTGTACTACCTGTCCGTCTGTGCTCAGGGTGGGAGGACCAGGTTCCTCCAGAAGCTGGCTGCTGCTCTATGCTAATGGCACCCAGTACCCAGCCTTAGAGAAAGAGGCCATGAGGTCACAACCAACAGCCCGTGTGCAGCCCAAGCCAGAAGCCTTTTTGTTTTTCGATGTTCCAGGGGCCTGCTGCTACCCTTCCTTCTCAGCATCCTTTGACTGCTTTTGGTTACCGTTCGGCTTTTCCAAATTGCAGCTTGCAGGGCCACACCGCCTCCTGCCTGCCTTCCCGTTCCGTGCCATTGTCTCCCACTTCCGCTGCACCAGATCCCCACTGGCCTCCCTCGGTTCTTCAGGTATCCTGGCCCTCGCCATGCAGTATCCTGCGTCTGGATTCCAGTTGACTAAGACCTCTCAGTTTGGGGTCTCAGCCTTACCCGAAACTCTCAGCTCTCCCCTGCCCTGTGTTCTCCTACAGCATCTGCTGATACTTTCCCTCATAACCATTATTCCAGGTTGAAACTGACAGAATGTGTTAGCTGCTTCTTCGGGGTCTTCTTCCCTAATACACCAGAAACAACTCGAGTGCCGGGAGCCACGTCTACCTGCCTTACTCTACACCCGACATGAGTAACACAATTTGGCAAAATCAGCCATTTGGTACAAACATGTTTAATGAACAAATAAATGTTCTCAGACTGACAACTGTGGGGAGTGATTTAGACAGTACTGGTATAAAGTGGTCATTGCTACTAGAGATCCGACCACAAGTCTGGGCAAGGCCAGTCTGCTGGGGGTCTGTGCCTCATCCACTGGCTTATAGGCACCCAAGAGTTGGGCAATTCTCAGCTGCACCCAGAAATCACACCCATATGACTATTTGCCCAAACAGAAAAGTCTTTCTTTCTTTTTCTTTTTTTTAAGATTTATTTATTGTACAGAGACGGAGAAAGAAAGAGTGCCAAGTGAGTGGGGAGGAGGGGCAGAAGGAGAGACTCCATGTTGAGTGCTCAGTCTCAAGGGGCTCAGTCTCAGACCCACGAAGTCATGACCTGAGCCAAAACCAAGAGTCCCACACTTGAGCCACCCAGAAACCCCCTCAAACAGAAAAGTCTTAAGCAGAAAAACAAAACACAACAAAACACAACCTCCCATAATCTTACTATCCATTTAACAACATGAACATGTTGTACTTTGAGACTGCTTTCAAACTGTATGGAGCATAACTTGAGCTGACACTATATATGCAATTTCTGATCCTGTTCTTAGTGTGTATCATAAACATTTCAGCAGAAGCAACTTGCACTGCAAAGTGTCCTGTAAAGAATCCATAGTTGGAGGCTAGCAATTATTTGATCAACTCAACAAACAAGAATTGAGTCCCCCCTTTTTCTGGGTACCAAGGACATGATCATTAGAATGTGAATGACTATCATTCCTCAGAAATAGTGAAAAATAACAGCATATTGCAGATAAGGAACTAAAAGCCTGAAGTCTTCCCAGCCTACACACAATGCTGCTGGTGTTCCTAGGTGAATCAGGAAATGACTTCTCACCATTATGATCCTTACTTGCTGGTAGATGTAATCACTTCATGACTATGTAACTACTGTTTTATTTTTAAAACAGTTAAGTATACTCTACGAGCTGTGTGTGTGTGTTTTGAAAGCAAAACATTTAGCAGCTATAGCAACTGGGTTAGAACACTTTTCCTCCCAGAGCAATTTAAAATACTGTTTAAATATTTGTAAATACGTAATTTAAATAGCTACATTGTATTTATTTCAAATATACACATATGTAAAATTTAAATATTATAAAATATTGTGACGTAGATGTAAAAAAAGCAGATTCCCAAAGACATTCTTCCAAAGTGCAATCGGTCCCTAATAACTAGGAGCTGCACGTCCCATACATTCAAGAGACTATGCAGGGTGAGAAGCTTCCACCGAGGAGACACTCGGCTCTCCCCAGTTCAAAAACTTGACATTCCACAATTTAGCTCCCAATCCCTAGCCTAGATGTTGTTTGGATGGTAAAAAGCTGAAGCCCTTGCCTACCTAGAACTTAAAACAAACACATATGCAAATAAGAAAATTCCACAGTGCTGAGTGCAATACAGAAGATGAGGGGCACAGGGCTAGTTTAACCAGGACAGTCAAGGATGACTCCTTTGAGGAGGTGGCATTTGAGCTGAGACCTGAATTTTAAGAGAGAACCAACCAGGCAGCTCTGAAGGAAGAGCATTCCAGACAAATGACAAATGCAAAGACCTAAAATGGGAGAGTTTGGCTTGTTTTAGGGACCAAGTGAAGTCCAGAAGGGATGGAGCCTTGGGAGTTAAGAGTGGGGAGAGTAACAGGAGGTGAGACCGAGAGGTAAAAGAGGCCAATGACAAAAAGCCTTGAAGGCCATGGAAAAATGTTGGAGTTTACTTTTAATTGTAACGGGAAGCCCTGGAGAGTTTTTAAGCAAGACAGTGACATAACTTCACTTCTATCTTTAAAAAGATCAGCCTGGCGGGTGTGTGCAGAGTGGCTGGTAGAGGTGCAAGGGCGGAGAGCACAGGCGGCTGCCTCATTGTCCACGCAGGAGAGGTCAGAGGCTTGGCCTACGGCAGCTGCGGCCCAACTGGTAACACTACTTGTCCCCCTAACTAGTACTTGCATAACTATCAATACTATCTATACTGGGGACAACAATGACAAATCTTCACTGAGCACTCACTAGTGCCAGGCACTGCTCGGAGCACCGCAGACGTATCAGTTCAGTTGGGTACCACAGGTTATGAATGAACAGTCCTGTGAGATGTGCAGCATCTTAATTTCATTTGAAAGCTGAAGAATCTGGATCACAGAACTTGACTCGCTCAAGGCCGAGTCAGGACTCAAACTGAGGCAACCTGGCTCTCCCAACTACTATGCTATGTGGCATACTTCTGGAGAAACAGCTGACATGGGGGAAAAGCGGAGCGGGGGAGGGTAAGAGTATCTTCTAAAAATACTGAATGGGCGGTGGTACCACTAGCTAACACGGAAAAAGACAGGAAGGAATAGGTCTGGGAAAGCAATCCTAAGCTTTGCTTGTATATTAGATATCCAGTTGGGAACTGAAAAGGACATTGGACATTCTGGTCTGGAATTTAGGAGTGAGGGCAGAGATGGGCACAAAAATTTGAAAGTTAGTCTACAGGCGCATTTAAAATTTTTATTTATTTATTTATTTGAGAGAGATGGAGAAAGCACATGCATGCATGAATTGGGAGGGCAGACAGAGAAGGAGAATCGCAAGCAGACTCCCCACTGAGTGCGGAGCCTGATGTGGGGCTCGATCTCACAACCCTGAGACGGTGATCTGAGCTGAAACCAAGAGTCAGATGCTTAACCAACTGAGCCACCCAGGTGCCTCAGTTTACAGATGTATTTAAAGTCACAAAACTGAATGAACTCACTTGGAGATTGAGCCCCATATCTGGTTCTGCGCTGGGCATGGAGCCTGCTTAAGATTTTCTCCCTCTCCCTCCAACCCTTACCACCAGCCCCCTATATTCTCTCTTTAAAAGCAAATGAAGACATGGGGCGCCTGGGTGGCTCAGTGAGTTAAAGCCTCTGCCTTGGGCTCAGGTCATGATCTCAGGGTCCTGGGATCGAGCCCTGCATCGGGCTCTCTGCTCAGCGGGGAGCCTGCTTCCCCTTCTCTCTCTCTGCCTGCCTCTCTGCCTACTTGTGATCTCTCTGTCAAATAAATAAATAAAATCTTAAAAAAAAAATGAAGACAGCAGTTATTGTGATGAGCACTGAGTAATCTACAGAATTGTTGAACCATTATATTGTATACCTGAAACTAATATAACACTGTATGTTAATTGTACTTCAAAAATAAAAAAAACAGAAATTAATGACATAGAATAGAGGGTACTTCCAGGAGCAAAGTGCCTTTAAGAGAGTGGCCAGAGGAGTGGAGATGGGTCATGCAGGAGGGCCATCTCTTTCTTTGTAACAGGAGGTGAGTTAAAGCGAAGAAAAGGGGTCCAGGTGAAGGTTGCAGAGAGATTTGATCATTTCTCTATTTTAACTACATCTATATTTCCTCCATGAAATATGATCACACAGCAATTCAGTGAGGGAGTTGTAATTCAAAGGCAAAGCCTGTCTAGATAGATCAATGGGACAGAATATACAGCCATAAATCTGACTACATGCTATGGTTCAGTGCGTAATTTCAAACAGAGGTGTGGAGGGAAGGATGGAGGATAATTTAATAAGTGGTACTGGGACAACTGGTGAGCCATCTGGAAAAAAATAAAGTTAGATCTCTTCTCACACCAATATAAACTACC